GCCTCGGGACAAAAAACAAGCCAGACACCTTGCCATCCACCATCAATCACATCAAATGTGGCATTTGAAGAAACGTAAGAAAGAAATCATTTGAGTATCTCTGAACAGATTTCTAGACGGAGATGGTGCGCCTCCACCACCCTCTGCTGCTGCTTCGTGATGGGTGCCCGGAAGGCTGTCCGCCTCTGCGCCCACCAAGCCTCCAGCGCCTGGCGGTCCACCTTGCCGCTGCGGGTCAGCGGCAGCGCCTCCACACTGCACACCTGCGCTCTCCGTGTTGTCTATGCTATGTACTTGAATTATTTGAATTTAGACTGTGAGGTACACATTAGTAAATTACATGCACACCTGCGAATCGCTCCAGAAGATGTGGCAAGTTCCTGGCCAACATGTGAATGTGGTGGGGAACAGCATGCAACTCCCCAGCTCACACCGACTGTGCAGTCTGCCCAACCCTTCACGGCGAGGGCCTCAGGAACCATGTAGTGTGGCAGCTGTTGCGTCAACCTGTCCCGCGTTTCTGTTGCCCGCTGCTCTTCTGCCCTCACCTTGGCTTTCAAACTGGGATGCCTGGACGGTGACAACGATGGACTCTGCAAAATCATTGAAAGCCTATGCCGTGCATTCCGGTCAACCATGCATTGGAGGCAACGTGACGACGTGCCCCAATCCATGACTGACGCCTTTTCTGTTCTGAGACTCTAAGCAGCACATCCAGCTACCGAAGAACCAGAACCGAGGGGCAAAGGCCACCAACACCGCGGGGCAGGCAGACGGCAGCGCCAGCACTGCGCAGTCCAGGCCCTGAGCCGCAAAGCTCAACTCCACCTCCGCCAGCTCCACGCGGAAGCCTCGGACCTTCACCTGGCCAGGGCGAAGCTTGCTGAAGGATCTGTGCGCTGTGAATTGAACACTTGTGGAATTCGTGGCGCGTCCTCGCCGAAACAAGAAACACGCCAGCAAACGTGGCTGAAAGACAGCATTGAATATCAACTGCTTTGCAAGCACTCGCAACATCTCGCAACTGTGCGGCTGCATAGAAGTGTGGCTCTGAGATTCCTGACACAAGGACGCCAAATAGGAAATCTGGAAACAAGTTGTCCAGTCGCCTGGGAGTCCTTGCGCCCCAAGAACTCCAGCACCACCTAAAGGGTGGTGCTCCACGCATTCCCAGCACACAGCGTTCATCTGATTTTGCATGCTAGCGGATCAGACTAGAGAAAAACAAAAAAATCATCGGCATAAAAACAAAGCCCCGCCTCGCAGGAGTTGTGGTAAACACCCCAGGGCCGCAGCGGCATGAACCGTACCATGTCTCCCGTGCGGTACACCCTCCCAGGGTGGAAGGGGTTCTCCAAGAACCGCTCGCTAAGATCCGCACGGCCCACGTAGCCCCGCGCCACCCCCACGCCACCAATGTACAGCTCTCCAGTCATTCCCACATGAAGCGGGGCGCTTTGTGCGTCCAGGCAGTAGTACTGATGGTTCCAAATCGGCCTTCCGTAGGGGATGGAGCGCCACTCTGGATCCAAGTCTCCCACCTCGAAGAAGTTGGACCAGACCGTGACCTCTGTGGCGCCACCCAACGCCACCACCCGGCCGTCACCCATGGCCCGGCGCAGCATCTGCGTGAGCTGCAGAGGGACCCAGTCACCACTCAGGAAGACCAGACGCAAAGAGTCCAAAGCGCCAATGAATGGCTCCAGCTGCTGCAGCACTTGTGGAGCAGAGTCCCAGAAGGTGATGTGACCTTTTTGCAACACCTGGAACAGCTTCTTTGGGCTCAGCTCCGGGGCCACGTGAACTGTACTCCCTGCTGCCAGCGAGCCGAACATGTCGTAGCAGGACAGGTCGAAGCTGATGGAGGTTGTGAAAAGCAGTGAGTCATTGTGGTCGATGTTGTATGTGGAATTCCTGAGTCGGGATCTGGATTCAAACATGCATGCCACGAGCTTCCACATTGTGACATGTCCAGCTCCCAACCCCTTAAAAGTGGTACTTAACGCACCGCTAATGCCAAGCTTCACCCACTCAATAAGGTGGACGATGGAGCGGTGAGTCACGGCAACACCCTTCGGCTTTCCTGCGTGGATCTGCAAAGCAGTCACTGCAACATGCAACCCGCTCTCCTGTTGAGCCGGAGGTGAAGATCACATAGGCCAAGTCCCCCTCTGATACGGCCAGCTCGCTGCTCCAAGTTTCCGAGCCAGCCTTCACAAATACGTGACAAACGCGCGCACGCACACACAGTGAAGCATATTCCCAACAGCTTCCAGGTATGGCTTGGGCCCAAGCTTGCGTCTGCTCAAGTTCATCTGCAGCGATGACTTGCAGAGTCGACTGCAAGGGCATCGACTCGAGCTGTTCCGCTCCTGGCCACCGCAAGTGACACTTTGCTCCCATTTCACCGCTGAAATGCAAGAATTTCGCCTGGGTTGGGAAGCTCCATCTCTTCAATAAATTGTCGGATCCACTCACATCGTGCAAGAAATGTTGCATTGGCAGTTCTCATGGCATATTCCGCATTTTCCAATGCCCAATGCTTGTGTCCCCCAGGCCCAACCTGCGACCAGGAGCTGTGCGGATGCGGCTTGGGCCATGAAGGCCACGCGCTCCCAGGGCAGACGCCCATCGCAGGGCACGTAGACGGCTCCGGCGCGCAGGATGGCCAAGGCGCACCGCACCGCCTGGCACTCCCCCCGATGTTCGATTTCCGCGGAATTGGAACCCAGATTCAATTATCTGCGGTTGAAACGACCGGCGAATTGTGGAAATGATTCGGACATGATGGTTTCCTATCAACATGGAGAAAAAAGGTTGAGAAGAAAGACTTGATTCATTCATACTTGCAACTTGGAGTAGGGATTGGCTTGCCATGCATCCACCACAAGAGCCCCGGATCTATTTGGGAGGCAGCTACTTGCAATTGCATTCAGGAAGGTCAACGTGAGACCCGCCATCATTCTCTTCCGGTGAAGCTGCGGCTTTGCTGCAAAGGCATCGTTTCCTACGCAACTCAAGAGCACCCAGTGCCCAGCGCACCAAACACCACGTAGCACCTGGCTGCAACGCGGCATCCAAAGCGCCACTGCTCCGGGCCGCAGCGCATAAAGCGCCGACACGGCACAATCCAGGTGAGCCGAGAGCTCCTGCATTCAGCCGAAGGATCTGAAGGATAGATTGGTGGATAGGTCCCAACAGAACCCTCGCCGCGCGCCTGGTAGGTCATGCGGCTGCATTCCTCCCCGTGCTCGTCGTAGGAAACCAATGCCGGGTGGCCCGCGGGCAGCTTCTGAAGACGCTCAGAGAGGAGCTGGGGCAAGCAGCGGCCAGAGGCCCAAGAGTGGCTGGTGTCGTTGAAGTCCTTGGAAAGCAAACGGAGCATCGCAGCCAATCGCACGTTGCTCAATACATGCAAGTGGCTTCCACCAAAAGCTGCTGAACGTCCGGCGGCGGAAAGGCATCGCTCTCACCTCACACGCCACCCGGATCTGGCTCTCAACACCTTGCTTTCTTCTGCTTCCCGCCTAGGCAGCTGCGCAGAAGGTGCCCAAGGCAAGGTGCGCAGCAAAGCCATGCTTCCTGCCCCGGGCAGGGAGGCAATGGCAGGCTCAAAGCTCCATGGTGAAATTCTAGAAAACGGGCAGGGGCCCTAGACAGAAGGTATCATGGTTGACTTGTCCCCGCATGTCCCAGCCTCCTTGCCCCAGGCGTGGGCAGCAACGGGCCGCACTGGCAGCTTGGCAAGAAGCCTCTGCGGGCAAACGAACAGACTTGTCACACCAAAGTGCCAGAAAGTCTCGCAAAAATGTGTTGTTAGTTGAATGAATACGTGATCTGGCTGGCTCGCTGGCTGTAGATAAAACTAGGCACCCTGCGCTGAATGGCTTTAAGAGGCAACCGAAACGAAACCAGCGAATTGGACGAGTCCCGCGTTTTGAGCACAAGGTAATTCTGGTAAATTGAATGGCTGTGGCACCCGAAGAGTGTCTCAAGATCCACAGCTTATGCCGTCAAGTATCTCCTCCTCACCAACAGCAGCCCACAGCACAGGCCCTGCAGGAAGGGCACGATCATCACTATGACTGCGATTTTCTACACAAAGGAGACAAGCCTGCATTCCTGCCTAGGCACTGTGCGTGCATGTGCGTGTGTGCGGGTGTGAGAGAGAGAGCTGGCCTGCATCTGCCAGCCTTGGCTGAGGCTAACTACACGCAAACGGCGCTTCTCAACACCAATTGGCCAGCAAATGGGAAAACTGCTACTCGGCTGCATGCCAAGCCACAACTCCCACATAGCCGCAAGCGACGCGTCCAAGCTGCGCGGCAAATTCCGCAAAGCATCCTCTGCAACAAGCTCCGTGTCGCTACCTGAGCTGTGAACGCCACATTTCACAAGCACGTGCCATACAGCGGCGCCGCGCGCGTGCGGAAAGCAACAGCCCGGATAGACCCTGAGACCAATGGCAAGGCTGTTGGCATCGGCCAAGTAGCTGTTGCGCGAAACGTGAACAGGGAGCGGAGCAGTCGCAACGTCCTGGCCCATGACCAAAGACGAGCAAACCACCACTGTAACCTCAGCGGTACACTGCAAGAGCTTTGGGCTAGTTTGCCATTCTCCCAACCCAGCTGGGAATCAACTGCGCCATGCAAAGCAAGAGCGTCTTCCTTCTTACTCCCCCAACTTCGAAGGCCCAAAGACTGCGCTTTCCATGCCGGGCGGCGTGCTGGCACTCCGCCAGCCGGCATAAGGCACGGCCCAGGCACCCCACTGCACGCCAGACGGCGCCTGGTGACCAACTAAAGGATGGATGACTTTTGTCCCAAGTCACCTCACCCAATCAGCAATGCAGAAACTCCCACGGCAGCGCGGGGGGGTACTCTCTTTCTTCGGCTGCAAGATTTGCAAGTAGGGAAAACAACATGTGTAAAGCAATTGACCGGCTGACAAACTGGAAAATGGTGAGAATACAAGGATATATTCGTCAATGTTGATGCTAGTTGCAAGTTTCAAGTCTTGTGCCAACAAGCCCAATAAGTTTGCCGTTGCCAGAATTACAGTAGAACCATCTCGCCCTTTGAGGGGGCAACACTCCTCCACTAGGCATAACTGCCAATATCATCCAATATCGCCTGCTTCGCGCGGAGGGCCAGGCATGGCAACCTGCCACATCACAAGATACTGTAATGTCTGCACAGGAAGGGGAAAGGGATCCGTTGGGCTTTTGGAGCTTGGCCTCAAAAGCGCAGCTGCAAAAGCTTGCTCAGACCAAGCACCACTTCACACGGTCCAAGCTCACCTACACCCAAACCATCATAATGCCTACACCCCTCTTGCCGAAGCAAACATGTTGCCGACCAGAAGGATCCAGCCTTGGCTGGAGCGGTGCCCTGCCAGCGACTCATTTTTCCAGGCGCGCAAAACAGGCTCGCACTGGGGCCCTTGCCAGGCTTTCCATTCTGACCGGAAGCTGGGACACAGTCACCTGAGTCGGAAGTTGTGAAAGCTGAAAACCACTTGCCATCCACATGTTGACGAGGACAGCCAGGCCCGAGAAGTCTCAATAGGGTCCATCTTTTTAGCCATAACTCAACTCCAGCTCTCTGAGGAACTGCCTACAGCCAAACAAAAGTGTGGCCCTAGTCTCAAACTCGTTAAGGGCAGAAAGGATTCGAGGAAAGACCGCCTCCCTTCTCATCCACCTTTTGCCACCACAGCCAGGTCAACACGCTTAGAAGCAAATGCTGAGATTGCTCGCTTGTTGAGCTGAGCCTCGCGGGAAAGTCACTGACCTCTGAGATCAAGACTTGCGTGTTCAGAGGAGCCCGGCGGGCCCAGGGGAGCCCTGGCAGCACAACAAGCTTGTTGTGCTAACTCACAGGAGAGCCTTCCAGATTTCCTGTGCATAAAGTGTAGCAAGATGCAAGAACATAGCAAGCAAGAGTGACATGAGAGCAATTGAACCGTTTCCCATGATTTTTGTTCCTGACGCGAGCGAACCCCATCCACGGCATCAGGACAATGTGTGAAAACAGCACTATCGCGTACCGCAGCCCCAGAATTGCCGTGCCGGTGGAATGAGGTCATTCTGCTGCTCCTGCATGGCAAAGTCGTAACGCCGCTTGATCTCCACGAAAACCTCGTTCATCTGCTCTTCGGAGAGGTTGGGAAAAACAGAGCCCGACTGGTTGCACTTGTCCGGATGGAACATGCGCATCTGGTTCTTCCATGCCACCTTCCGCTGGTGCTCTGGCAACTGCGCTATCTCCTCACTGATCTTTGTCACCTGTTCGCGGGCTGCGCGGGAAAGCTGCACCGAGGGTGGGGGCAAGGCCCTTCCGGGCGAAGCCGTGACGCTCGGCCTGCTAGGGACAGCGAAGCGCTTCTGGGAATGCAAAAAGCCCAGTCCGAAAAGCTTGCACTTCTCGCTGTGGATCGGCTTCCCACAGGTGCATTTGGGGCCCTTCGCTTTGGCTCCACTGCTTTTGGCCGACTTGGCCTTGGCTGGCTTGGGCAGCTTTGCAGGCACCTTCTTCTCCCTGGGCGCTTTGGTGGATGTGGCTCTCCTCTTCAATCCCGAATGGCCAGCAGACTTGTTGCGTGGCTGCGATTCTGCTGTTGTTTCCTCGTCAGACAGCACAGTGCCCTGGTCCTGACGCTTGGCCCTCACTGCTCTGGACGAGGCAGGCACATCGACATCTGCATCTTCAGAAGCCCTGGAAGCAGACACGCCAGACAGCTTGGCCCTCTTGCATCGCTCCCCTTTGTCGGATGCCGCTTTGGGCTTGCTGCTCGTGCGCGCTGCCTTCTCGAACTCTTTCAGCTTCTTCTCTGGAATTGGACCATCTAAACGACCATGCACCTGCCATGCATCATTATTGCCGTGCCTGGTGCAAAAGTCCGAGCCCTTGGTAGGGCTCATCCGGCACTGTCCACCCATGCCGCTATTCCAAGTGCGCGCCATGCACAGCTGACTTGAAACTTCCTTGGGTGTGAAGGGCAAATCTGCCAATGCCGCTGCATCTGACGCATTTGCCGATGCCTTGGGAGGCTCGTCGTCAATCATGGCCTCCTCTGCGTTGGCCGGGGCCGCTGCGCTGCCTGCGGTACGCAGCGAGCAAACAAGCAATCGCATTGCATGTTCATTGGGCACGAAAAGGGCCGCTTTGTGTCAGTAGCGTCCGCACCCCCTCCTCCTTTTCTTTCCGCTCACTTTCTGCTCTGCAGTTGCTCTTATTTCTTCTTTCTGTGGTCCCTCCTCTCTGCTCACTTTCTGAATTGAACACAACATCAAACCTCAACCCATTGGCAAATTGGCCTGGAACAATACCTAGACCAAACCTAAACCTGAG